TAGCTCCTTTGCTAGAAGCATAAAGAGTGAGCTTGGTAACATGGGACCATGCCCAATCAGGTGCCATTGCTCAATTGTGCTAGAATCGCTAGAATCGCTAGAAACAAATCTCTGAAATCACTAGAATCGTAATTTCCATTTTAGGGCAAAAATTACAGTTCAAGTGTCGCAGACTAAGTGATTTGCAAGGCCTCAACGAGCTGCTCTACACTCAATCGAAAGCGGAGGCCAACCAACTGGAGAGTGTTGCCTTGTAGAGCTTGGTATGCACGCAGCTCCTATAGGCTATAGCCATCTTGGTCAGATTTGATGTAAGCTTGCTGGGCTGGGCATTTGTGCATGGATGGATCGCTCCATAGCAGCAGGAGAACAGTAAAGTGGTGGAGATGCAGTGGCGATGGTGATAGCCGCAGCAGCATCAGAAATCTAGCCCTTGTGAGCGTGATTGCCATTATAATCACCAAACAGAATCACCAAACAGAATCACCAAACAGAGCTATTCGACCGCATTCGGCTGACTGCATTTGGTGGCAGTCGGGATTCCAGCCAAATGTGGTTAGGACCAACAATGGTCGGGATTGAGCAGATCTTTGTGCTTGAGTTTCCGCATAGCAGTCCATGCTTCGACGGCTGCTGTTGTGTCATCCAGGACCACATCGTGCTTGGGCTTTGGGACTGCAGAACTCCAAAGTTTCATATTCAAACCCTATTGATAAAAATACAGTTGAAATTTTCAGAGAAAGGATATTCTCATGTCCCAGATGAGCATCCACTTGTGAGGCTTTTGCAAGTCTGATTGGGCTGGCGATAAAGATACACGGAAATCCACATCTGCTTATGTGTTTTATCCCCTCAACCTTAACTTGGAGGAGCAAGAAACAGAGCATCACAGCTACTGAAGCCAGAGCTGTCTGGATTAGATTTCCGCTCTTATGTTGTGATAACAGCGACATCCAAGTGAATGAAGCACATCCAGACTATGTCCGGGAGCAAGTTCAGGAGGGCGTTACATGATCCATGTACCCTCTCTTCTTGTTAGCACGACTCCTCAGTCTACATGAAAGGGGATGCATGTCGTGCGTATGGCCTGGAGCTCTCGTGATGAATCTCCTGGGACCTTCGGGAAAGCTCGAGCTGGTGGGTGAGAAGCCACCAAGTGTGTACGTACTTTGCAGCGCTTGCAGCCACCGCATGAATCCGCAAACCAAACAACAGCATTCTCCAATCCAGTCCACAGAAAGCTGGTTTGGCAGGTGAACGAACTCCATGAGAAAACTACCCCGCTGTGGAATCCTTTGCAGCAAAGACCGTGCTGCTGCATCCAGTTCGCGGTGCAGATTTCACGCTACTTCGAAAGCATCATGCCGCGCTGTGGTATTTCTGAAATGAGCGCGTGTCATTGCTCCAGATTTCTCCTCTGGGCAAGTGCCGCAATCAAAACGTTGCAACAACTAGATCGAGAGGACAACCATATCATAGATTGCTGGCACACGACCTGGTAAAAGGCCTTGATGGCAGATCCATATCTGGACGAGCAGATTGCAGATCTCTTGAAATGTAAGTGTACAGAGGTGGTGTAGCCCATCATCCCTTCTTGAAAGCTTTCTTGCCAAACTTTTTCAGTACCTCTCAATGAGATTTGTTACTGCTGCAGGATCTTATTCAAATCTCAATGTTAAATTTCTGCTCGACTTTGTAAATAGTATGGAAATGGCAGCGAGAGTTCTCACCTTGTTTAGCGAACCTGGCATACCAATCAATATCAGACGGAGAATATTATGGCTGTAATGTTGTGGAGCGCTTATGGGAGACAATATTCTATCCGTTGCAATCCTCCGTATGTCCTGAAGGAAACATTTGACAATATATGTGAGGCTGTGACGAGTGTGAGAAGTTCCTCTTGATTTTCGCTGATAGTTGTGAGGAGCATCGTCCAGGAAACGAAACGAGAAGGAGCAAAATAATGGCTGTCTGGAAAGAGGTGCATTGCCCTTTTTCTGCGTGTGAGTGACATCTTCAGTACTTCCACTTGCGCTATATTTATAAAAAAAAATGTTAAGGTGTCAGCGGCTCTTTCGTTCCATCCCAAAACAGCATTCGCTACTGATGATACGCTGACTGCGGCCGAGGTCTCCAAGATGGTCGTACCTTCGCCACTCTCCAGGTGATCCCGTTAACCAGGATTTTGGTGGGGATGGGGGCCCATGGTCACCGGCCTCGTGGGATAGCTTTGACGACGAGGTGGCGTGCTTCATGGGTCTCTTCCCAAACACTGGTGCTTATTACTGGAACGAGTCGGAGCCTGGGTCATGCAGCATGGAGCATCCATACGCTGGGCTTTGATTTAAGAGACATGGATAAAAGCTCGCTTGGCCATCCAGACGTGTTCTTTGAGCGGGATGATCACAAGACTGGTCTTTTGCTCGGTCTAGTGGAGCGTCCCTCATTGCTGCCCGAGCTGATGCCGAAGGAAATTGCCTTGTCCATGCAATCGTCTCCCACGAGCTGTTTCTGGCCCGTGCTGAACCGCCTGGGGGAGCTCCTGGCGCTTGCCGGGCTGAACTACGGCTTCTTCACGACGCGGGATGTGTATTGGTTTTGTTTCAGCGATGCCTCCGGGAAGCTGGCGATCTCACGTCCACTCAAACGGGTGGAAGCAAGGCCAGACTGCTTTTGGTATCTTATGTCGCTCTCGGCTGTTGAGCATCAGCGCCCGCAGGTTATCACAGGAGGCGTGATGTGGTAAAAGATAAAATTCTGGAAGGTGACTAGGGAAAGCTTAAGTTCGTGCCACTGGCGAGAATGTTGTGCTCAAGATCAGGGATATGGGGTTCAAAACTTTCTCGAAGCAGCTCCACGACTTTGTCAAGGAGATCTGGGCTTACAAGAAGTTCAGAGGTCACCAAGGTCGTGGCATTCACGAGCTCAAGGACTATGGCTTCATGTGTGGAAAGATGTTTCCGGTGCTGGTTCTTAGCTACGAGGGAAACAAGCTTGGGAGGCTTCCTGTCGAGGTTTACTCGAAAGCAGCAGTCCCTATACTGAAGAAGATCCATAAGAAGGCGGAAGAGTCGACTCAAAATCAATACTAGTCAAGAACAATGAGCCATTGCAGCTGAGCATTGTTAGATTTTCGGAAGTCGAGGTCCCGACCAAATTTCCAGGTATTTCTGGCGAGAAGTGAGAAATCTCAAGGCTGCTTGTGGAGTGGATATTGAGGCCACAACTAATGAGGATAGTGGAGCTTCTTCTGATGAGTTATGTGGATGCTGAGTTTGATTTAGATTTGATCTCTTGAAGTAGATTGCCAAATCCTAAGGATTGCGTTTCTCTCCAAAGGTGGAATCGATGCTCCTCCTCGCTCTCGCATTCTCGCACTTCGCCTTGGACATCCTGTCTGTCAAGCCCAGGCAACCCCTGTCATCTCATGGATATGCAGGGTTCCATTCGAGATGGAGACGGCGTCGGTGCCAGGCAGTGAAAGGGGCTTTGATTCTTCTGCCGTCAAGGAGTGTCGATCACCGGCACCCCAATTTTCGCATCGGTGTGCCACCACCTCCTCTATGAGCTGCTAACTTAAATTCAATCTAGCTGGACGGTCGAGATCTATTTTCCTCATCTTTTAGGTTTAAGGTAGGGTTCGTGAGCAGCGAGGCGGCTGCGCTGTGCCATGGCCGTCGGGTACGTGCGCTCGTTTCTCGCCGTGTAGCTCTAGCTCAATCAGTGTTTCCTTGGCAGGAAGAACAAGCGGATTTCCAAGGGAAAGAAGGGAGGCAAGAAGAAAATGTAAGTGTTTGGCGCAGCGTTTTGCCTGCTTGATTTCTTCTTTCCTCAGTGTCGACCCTTTCTCGAAGAAGGATTGGTACGATGTCAAGGCCATGTCCACTTTCAATGTTCGTCAGATCGGGAAGACGCTTGTGACGAGAACGCAGGGAACAAAGGTGAGCTTTTTCTACTGATCTCGATTTAATTTGATGTGTTCCTGTGCTTGCAGATTGCCTCGGATGGTCTCAAAGGGCGTGTCTTCGAAGTGTCGCTGGCGGACTTGCAGAATGACGAGGATCACGCCTTCCGGAAGATCAAGCTCAGGGCCGAGGATGTCCAAGGCCGGAACGTTCTCACGAACTTCTGGGTAAGAGAATTTTCTTTTCTCTCCAATTGTGCTAGCTTCATTGTTTTCATGTTCCTGCAGGGAATGGACTTCACGACCGACAAGCTCCGGTCTCTCGTCCGGAAGTGGCAGTCCCTCATCGAAGCTCACGTTGATGTGAAGACGACTGACAACTACACCTTGAGGCTCTTCTGCATTGGATTCACCAAGCGGAGGCCCAACCAGGTGAAGAGGACTTGCTACGCTCAGTCGAGTCAGATCCGCCAGGTACACTTGAAAAGAAAGAGTTTGCTGTTCATTAACAAACATGCTCTCGTACAGATCCGCAAGAAAATGAGGGAGATCATGGTTCGCGAGGCCCAGTCCTGCGATCTCAAGGACCTCGTCGCCAAGTTCATCCCCGAGGTTATTGGGAAGGAGATCGAGAAAGTGACTGCGGGAATCTATCCCCTGCAGAACACTTACATTCGTAAGGTGAAGATTCTGAAGGCCCCAAAATTCGATCTTGGGAAGCTGATGGAGGTAATGAAGAGCCATCTTTCCAGCGAAACCTTCTTGTGCTTACTGTGCTCTTGTACATTTCTTCAGGTTCATGGCGACTACAGCGAGGATACCGGCGTCAAGGTTGAGCGACCAGTCGGTGATGAAGCCGAACCGGAGGCAGCAGAGGCTGAAGTAGTCGGGGCGTAAGGCATCGTCATTTGTTTTTTCCTGACTGTACACATTTTTGATATCGTAAAGAGTTCAGTGACTCAAATCCATGCTTCTAAGTCGCCAAGTAAGACTCGGCGTTTTTCTGCAGAAAGTGAGGTCCAGGGTTTGTGCAGTGTACAAACTTTACAACACCACTTGACATATGAAATAATTGAAAGTGTAATGTGGCTGTAGTTTAGTGGTAAGAATTCCACGTTGTGGCCGTGGAGACCTGGGCTCGAATCCCAGCAGCCACAATTTCTTCCAGAAAAACCTTTTCCCAAAAAGTGAGCTTGTAATAGCTAGAATTTAATCCCTAAAGAATCAAATATATAGATCTTTAGTCACATTCTTCACTCTACGGTCACAAGATCAGCAACGCCCTGTCTCTCACGCATATCAGATTGTTGCTCACCTCTTTCTGCAACCTTCCCTCGAGTAGAGCTACTGGAATCCATATCTTTGGTTGCACCTCCAAGATATAAGTGAGGGAAGTTTGAGTCGTCGCATCTTCAACGTTATGGAGCATCTAAGAAAGACAAAACAAAACAAAACAGCACTCTTAGGAAAAACAAAGAGACAAGACGCGCGTACGTGTACCTGTTCGATGCGCCAGATCCCACGAAACAGATTAAAGTCGCCTTCTACCATATCAAACCCAATATCTCTTCGGCAGCCATTGTCCAAGAGTTCCAGTGGCAATTCAGTCACTTCTATCACTCCTTTGGCCCGGAATTTCACACCCAACGCCAACTCCTGCTCACCAATCTGGAAAAACAAAACGGCATAGAGATTAGAATCAGGAGAGAAAAGAAATCTATACCTGCAGAAGCTGAGCTCCATTTTCTCTTCTTTCCAAAACCTTGCTGGAAGCCAAGCCAGGAATGAAGTCCGCTAGCCCCTCGTAGTCAGTTAACACGCCCCAGACTGTCTCTAGTGGTATGCAGCCCATAGAAATCGATGCACTTATCCTACGCTTGTTCTTGGCCACTTTCTCTATGCTCAAAGTGACGCCATCGTCTTCGTCTGGTACCGTGCTCACAAACGAAGAACTATCCTCCTGCGAAGCAGTAATTCTCAAGCACAAGTAGTCCCACGACCTGCCCCTCCTCCATATTAACTTAGCACCACCACCGTTTCTCCTTACAAATCCCGACTTGCCTTGAGACGTGAACCATACACCTGTTGGAAATACGCGCTCCGTCAAGAGACCCCTCATTGCGCAAGCCCGTGACTGAATGCCCTATGCAGATAGATTTTTTATAGTTGCTCCTTAGCTTCATCTCGGAGAAAGAGGCCTGCTAAGACAAGTCTTGTTATGAAAGGAAAACTCAAATTGCAACCCACCTGAATAAACTTACAAACATTTCTTCGTTCTCCCAGCTGAGTATCGCGGCACTCCGAGCTAGAGGACGGCCACTCCTGCAAAATGACAAGCCAGATTGTTGAGAAACAAAGAACCAGTTGGAAATGGTTTACCTCCGCACATTTCGACGGAGGTTATAGTCGCGTGAGAAAGTACATTGAAGCTCCTCGCAGTCGGAGTCTTCTTGAGGGTCATAGTCCGGATCATCCGAGTAGTCGTCTTTCCTGCTCCGTTCGCCTTCATCTTCGTATCCTCTGAAGCGTGGAACATTGGCCAAGAGGCTAAAATCTCCATTCTGCGCTTCTATGACACCAAGGAAAGAAAAAGCCCCGAGTCAGAGAGAAAACTACAAGTCAAGTTGAGTGTCCATACCAGAAGTGGAAGACCCAAAGTACAAAGAGCCGAGGAAGCTCGTATTTTCATCTAGTCGTTTCTGCATGTCCAAAAGGATCTTGTAGCTCAAGCTCGCATAGTCCCTGTAAGAAATGTGAGGGTAAAGAAAGAACGAACCGATATCAACTTACTTGAAGGTAAGAATGCAATAGAAGACGTATAGAATAGCTGCAACAGCATAAGTTCCTCGTATGTAAAGCGCATTCGTCAGATACTCATGTTGATAGTAAGGGCTGGATTTTGGAAGACGTAGCGACCAAAACTCGGCCGCAAAAGAGAGACACAGGCCTACACAAGGATAAAGTTACGTAGAAGCAAAAAAATCAAAATAAAATAAAAACGAGATTGCTTACCAGCGTAAAGAACGACCCTTCCATTGCTCGTTTGCCTCGTGCCGGTGATGAGGTATATCAGTATGGCAACGGGAACGTAGAATAGAACAGCCTTTACGGTCCGTGACTCGGTCAGAATCGCGTTGTGCAACGCAAAGAGACGCTCCAGGGACGTGAAAATGAGAGCCTGCTTGGACGCAAATACTTCCTGGGCCTTGAGTATAGCCTCGGATCCGTCAGCCAGTCGTTGATGCATCTCGTGGAGCCGCTTGCTCTCTCGAAGCACGTCCTCTTGCATTTTCTCCTGTATTCTCTTGAGGCTTGCTAGGCCACTGAGCGCGGCTTCCTGGCCGGAAAGAAGCTCGTCCTGTCCGGAGAGGGACTTGACAACGTTGCTGTTGATGTCTTCCGCCTTGGACCTCAAGCTCGACACTTCCTCTTGCAAGTTCTCCGAGAGAAGCTGCTGCTGGCGAACCATCTTCTCCTGGTGATCCGCCAGCTCCCTCTGGAAGGACGACACGGCCACCATGTGTTTGTTCGTCTCGTCCGCGTACTCCTTGAGGTGAAAGATGCCTTTGTTGAGATCTTCGTGCATCTCAACCAGGCCTCGCTTCATAACAAAGTACTCTTCTTCCAGCCGCTGCTGCAAACCGAAGATCTTGTCCGTGTTGTCTAAGATCGACCTTGCCTGGCTCTGCATCACAGCCAGCTTATCTTCCACCCAGTGAGCCGAGTCCTTGAGGTTGCCGATCACTTCTTCCGTTTCCAGCTTAAAAGCCTCGCTCCTGTTTCCAGTACCAAAGAAGAAAGAACGTGTTAAAGCGCTCATGGAGTGGTGGAAGGAAGCGACAAAAACTTACTGAAGGTGGTGGCACATCGATGCGATGTCGATGAAAAATTGGAGAAGAAGATGGTGTCGGTGATCGGTGAGAGACTTGGTACACTCCTTGACGGGAGAAGAATCCGGGCAGGATTTCAAAGGATCCTTACCGGAGCTCCGAAGGAAGCAATCGGCAAACTTGTAAGCCAGCCTCATTTTCTTGCTGTCATCCTTGAGCACCTCACGGCAACTGGAGAAGAGGCTCGAGTAGGCGCTGTGCCAGCATGAACTCTGCAGCTTCTTCTTCAAATCCTCGAGGAGCTTGCCGCCCCTCTCACTGCCTGGCACCGACGCCGTCTCCATCTCGAATGGAACCCTATGATCCATGAGAGGCAGCGCATTGTGTACCTGATCCGGCTGCTCCTCCCCATTGGCGGCCTGGCGAGGGGGTCGCCTGGGCTTGACAGACAGGATGTTCCACCAGGCGGAGTGCGCGGGGGGGAGGAAGAGCGAGAATGCGAGCGCGGCGAGGAAGAGGAAGCGAGAGAGCATCGATTCCTCTTAGAACCCTAATTCGAGAGTGGCAATTTAAAACTTCCGCCTTTTTAAATCGCAACTTTAAAGATACCTTTCCTTTCTTGAACTACACTCTACTTCAAGCGATTTGTTTTGGTAAACGGGAGACAAACTCTATTTCAAAATTGATACATCTCAACCAGGGATGTCTGGATATTCAAGTCTTGTAGCGCTATCAGCCGGATCCGGAAGAGTGTAAAAGGCCGTCTTCATCCAGGTGACATATCTTTTGGAGCGATCAATCTTAACTCTCGAGTGCCTGATAGTTCTGCCAGACAAGCAAAGTATCAGCCCTCCAAGGAAAAGAAGGGGAATCAAAACCGAAAACTCCAAGGAACCATAGCTTAAACCTGCTAGCTTGAACTTCACGAGTTCTGGATCGCCCTCTGAAACGCTGCTCCAGAGAGAATGCGAGTAGCTCCACTCGATATTTCATTGTTTCAGTTCTTGTGGATGAAGCCGCCAAATCAACACCAGCAAGCTTCCACTCCAAATCACGCCTTTCCCATGAATCAAAGATTTGAATGTGAAGCTGAATCAAGCCCCTGAAGATTTCTACCCGCTCCCTTTCCACTCTGTACACTCGAAGCCGCGAGAGAATATAGCTGGGCTTTCCTATGGAGAAGAAATCTCCAGAGAACTTTTAAAGTTGTGCAGAACGATATCTAAACTGTGTACTGTTAAGGAAAAGAGGCAAAACAAATATCAAGTAGGACGACTTACGCCCCGACTACTTCAGCCTCTGCTGCCTCCGGTTCGGCTTCATCACCGACTGGTCGCTCAACCTTGACGCCAGTATCCTCGCTGTAGTCACCATGAACCTGGAGAAATGACAGTAAGCACACAAGTTCTTGCTGGAAAGATGGTTCTTCATTACCTCCATCAGCTTCCCAAGATCGAACTTTGGGGCCTTCAGAATCTTCACCTTACGAATGTAAGTGTTCTGCAGGGGATAGATTCCCGCAGTCACTTTCTCGATCTCCTTCCCAATAACCTCGGGGATGAACTTGGCGACGAGGTCCTTGAGATCGCAGGACTGGGCCTCGCGAACCATGATCTCCCTCATTTTCTTGCGGATCTGTGCGAGAGTATGTTTGTAATGAACGGCCAACTCTTTCTTTTCAAGTATACCTGGCGGATCTGACTTGACTGAGCGTAGCAAGTCCTCTTCACCTGGTTGGGCCTCCGTTTGGTGAATCCAATGCAGAAGAGCCTCAAGGTGTAGTTGTCAGTCGTCTTCACATCAACGTGAGCTTCAATGAGGGACTGCCACTTCCGGACGAGGGACCGGAGCTTGTCGGTCGTGAAGTCCATTCCCTGCACGAGCATGAAAGTGGAACAATCAAATACTGAAGCTAGCACGAGAGAAAAGAAAATTCTCTTACCCAGAAGTTCGTGAGGACGTTCCGGCCTTGGACATCCTCGGCCCTGAGCTTGATCTTCCGGAAGGCGTGATCCTCGTCATTCTGCAAGTCCGCCAGCGACACTTCGAAGACACGCCCTTTGAGACCATCCGAGGCAATCTACAAGCACAGGAACACATCAAATTAAATCGAGATCAGTAGAAAAATCTCACCTTTGTTCCCTGCGTTCTCGTCACAAGCGTCTTCCCGATCTGACGAACATTGAAAGTGGACATGGCCTTGACATCGTACCAATCCTTCTTCGAGAAAGGGTCGACACTAACGACAGAAGAAATCAAGCAATAAAATCGAAGCAAAACGCTGCGCGAAACACTTACATTTTCTTCTTGCCTCCCTTCTTTCCCTTGGAAATCCGCTTGTTCTTCCTGCCAAAGAATCACACATTGAGCTAGAGCTACACGGCGAGAAGCGAGCGCACGTACCCGACGGCCATGGCGCAGCGCAGCCGCCTTGCTGCTCAAGAACCCTACCTTAAACCTAAACGATGAGCATAGATCTCAACCGTCTAAATGATGAGCCAAGCGGCACAATGTCATTGGTACACGTGATCCCTTCCCGGGTTTTTGGTTTTTCCTTCCTGAGGAGCCCTAGCTCCCTTGAAAATCCTTTGAATCGAGATGAAGATCCGAAAGGCGAAGCAAGAACATGGCCCAATCTTCTCCGAGGATACACTGGCAGCGAAGATCATGAATGTCAATGTATTGAAACTGGATGGAACAGCCTTTGGTAAGTCGATTGGATTTTACTTGTCATGGATTCGCAACTCTTCACTAGAGATTTCGGTGCTGGACGGCGCGAGCGTGGCCGATCTCAAGGCATCGCTGGAATTCACCGCGAATGATCTCCAGAAGAAATCTTTGGGGCAGGGCTCTGGCAGCATCGATTGGTTCGTTCGTAACTTTAGAAATCCTTGTGTTTAAAATTCCTTTTGTCCTTCCAGGGATCAAGTATGGGCGAATTTCTGCTTGTGCTACATGAATCAAAAGCTCCTGGACGATTCAGCGTCACTGCGATCCATTGGAATACAACGCGATGATCAGGCAAGATCGTCCCCCCCCCCCCCCTTTTTTGGATTCTCTCCTCTACACGATCGATCTAAATTGTTTGTTTCTGACGAGCAGATCACGTTTGTTTGCCACAAGAGCTGTCAAAACACTCGAAGGAAACGCTGGCTTGGGGGATGCTTCGCTCATCCATGATCTCTTGTCCTTTCTCAAGTTAACTCTCTCTCAATTGTAAATAGAACACTAACAGAGAATGAAAGAAAACTTCCATCTCTCCAAATCAAGAACAAACAAACATTTGTTTTGTGCCAATTGGCAGGAAAAGTCTGAAAAACAACGACCACATTTTCCTCTTTGCTTTGGCTATGGCTGCGTCGAGCGTGAGAGGGGTCAATTTCGCTCTTCCTTCATCCAATTGCAAGCTCATGACGAAGAACGGGATTTCAAGCGCCAGTTTCAAGCGCAGCAAGAATCCCAGGAGGAGATGGATGGTTGTGAGGGCCGAGGGCGAGCAAATCCAGAACAAAGGCATGACTCGCGATGGCCCCGCGCAAGGAGGGAGATGGCTGAGTTGCACCACTCGTCACGTCCGCCTCTACGCCGCCGCCATCGATCCCGTGACCTTCGCCATGGATCAGACGCAAATAGATAAGTTGACGCTCATCTTGGATCCCGACAGCGAGTTCCTCTGGCCGGACGATAAGGTGGAGAAAGTCTACGATCATCTCCGCGAGCTCGTCGACACGTATGAAGTAAAACCTCTCCACCGAGTCCTCCGTAGATGATAGTAGTAGGAAAGAAAAGTCTTGACATGGGAATTACAGGGAGCTCCTCTGGACGAGTACACACTTCGCTTGGTAGGATCCGACATCGAGCACTTCATTCGTAAGTTGCTGCTGGCAGGAGAGATCCAGTACAATCTCGACTGCAGAGTGCTCAACTTCAGCATGGGAAAGCCTCGTCTCAACTTGTACTCCCCGGAGCAGGATCAGCAGCAGCAGGATTCGTGAGAAACTCGTAGGGTAGGAGCAATCGTAGCGCTGGTCATATGAAGATCCAGTAGAGCTGGAGAGGCATCATGAAAGAAGCCGAGAGTGCGAATCCAAACCAGCTGATGTTCAAGCCATCGATGAGCTTGACGCAGCGTCCCGTCACCAGCACGTTGAAAGCGTTGTGGATGAAAGTGCAAGTGAGGATGTCGTTGACGTTGGGGATGAGGCTGTAGACGGTAGCGCCGGCGGACATGGCAGTGGCCATGTTTTGATAGTTGCTGTTGAGAATGGGAGTGTTTGATGCTGTGCAACTGGCCTGAACGTCGTCGACGCATCTGTAGGGGCCGAAGTCCTGGAGGAATGGAAAAGTTTACATCAGGATCTTAGAGCTTGAGCCAAGTTAGAACTTACAGTCTGGAAGTCTGCCATGGGGGTGGTGCCTAGAGCACAAGCAACGTCGGCGTAGCCAGGACCAGCTCCATAGGGGTCACAGATCTGTGGCAAGCTCGAGCCGGTGTTGGAGTTAATGGTAGTAATTGCCGTGTTGGTCTGAGCGATGATGTCCTTGAGTGCTGATTTTGCACTTCCCGTGGTGGAACTGGCGGAGGCCTGTGACTGGCACGGGAAGATGGTGGCCAGTGTTGTGGTGGTCGGATCAGCGTTATACTCCCGCATGGCCTCGCATGCATCGTTTGTAACACTGCGAAAAGTCACAAGAGGGGGAAGCTTAAATTCCACCTCTACCTTTTTTAAAGTTTTCACGTACCGGGAGAGAACGAAGTCTAGTCCTGCCAGTAACCACGCTGCAAAGAGCATAACCGCCATTCCCATGAAAGCTCTGTTGGCACGGCGTTTAGTAAAAATCCGAAGAAAAGGTTTAGATGTTAAAGCTCACTCACATATTCCCGTATGCAGACGACTGTGCACAAACAGCGACTGTGAAGAAAAGGTAACTGTGAGATTGGCGAGAACCAAACAACTTGTAGAAGCTAAGAGTTACCTAGACCGATCACCGCAAACAAACATATGAAGGCTCCAATGATGTTGAGGAAAATAAAGCTGCAAGGTGATCAAACAGGTCGTGAGGAAAATGCGAAGGAAGACGAGTGCGCGTCACTCACACTAGCTTGAGATAGAAGGGGATTTTCTTTTTGATCTTGGACACCTTGACCCCGATTCCACCACTCCCACCGTCGACGTTGTTAGCAGCTGATAGAATGTTGGCTGAGGCCGTAGGATCGGATATCACGCCCGCTGCACTCTTGAGAGACGAGACAATCTCATCCGCCGTGTCCAAAACAAAGTCTGTCGCATTGATCACTACATCCGTGGTCTGTTTCAGCTGTTTTCCAGTCTTCGAAGTCCCCCAGAAAAGCACTGCTGTGCCTGCTCTGCGCACAGCTTTAGAATAATGAGATGGAGTGCTCGGATGAAGAAGAACAAGTGAAAAAAATTGAGAGTACTTACATGGTACACACCAGCAAGAGTAGAAGGGAGGTCATTCTCGAGCACCTTTTCAAAAGGCTTCCCCCTTCATCCTTGGTTGGAAGCTTGTAGCCGCAGAGGTAGCAGCAGAATTTGCAAGCGCAAACCATGCACGCACACATGAAGGTGAGGACTGCCAGGACGTAGCCCCAAATTCCAATGAAGGCCACAGACTGTGGAGGACAAAAGCAGGAGTTTAGAACACACCGAAGAGGAGAGGAGAGAAACCAAAGTTTTCATCGCCAATCACCACTTACGTGGGTGTTTTAGTGTGCAGGGAAAGCGATGAGGGAGCATACAGCCCAGTAGTGCTTGTTGATGACATCGAACTCTCCATTGTACTTTTTGAACTTTTGAAGGGCATCAAGGCGTGGAAACTTGAGCACAGCAATGTTGAGCGCCTTGGTGGCTTTGGACGCGACCTGGTTTGCATTGCTCCGGAAGAAAGCCGGCACCTAGAAGATGGAGAGAACCGCAAAAAGAGGAGGATTATCATCCGGCATTTCCTCTCGAAAAACTCACATTGACATCGGAGACATTGAAGATGCCTGGCGATGGCGCCCTCCTGCCGTAGCCAGCTGCTCCAGGCGCCAGCAGCAGCAACGCAAACCCTAATCCCAGACCTAATCCAAAAGCCCAGCCTCTCCTCCGCATCACGAAAGTCTGAAAACCCTTTGGCGCGCGCGCGCGAGGATAAGAGATGCTGGGGTATATTTGAAGAATCATTTTTTGAATATGCTGGATTTGAAACTCTGTTTTGATAATTGAGCATAAAAGGAGATGTATAAAAGTCGTCCAAATAAGCATGAGATATTCACTTGGTTATTCCATGTGATTTTTCATACTCAACTTTGTGTATGAATGCAGAGGTGGTAGAGAGCATGCAAAAAAATTTCAAATCGATTGATCAAAAGCCACTATCATAGAGTTAACTGAACAAAAGGACTACGCACTTTTTGGGCACATAAACCAGGTGGACAGTCTTACAGTTCATGATTTTGCAGAAGCCCTCCAGGATCTCTGGGACGATTGCATTAACAATGGTATTCTGCATGCAAGTCGCGATTTTGATTGTAAGAAGTGTGTTGGTGCTAATTGACAATACCCATGACAAAAAAGTAAATCGTTTGTTTTAAATTAATATCATTTCAATGCTATAAAGTGGATGCATGTCCATTCCTTGGGGTGAGCAATGAGATAGAGACAAAGATGGACAAGGTTCTGGTCACGAGATTTGACTTGAAATTGTTTGGTTTTAAGGCTAGAGACGACAGGATTCTAGTGCAGGTCGTCCTTTCTGCTAGAAGCTGTGTTTGCCTGCTGTTGTGATCTTGTGGCGAGGAACAGGTCCTGCAAGAGTAATTTCAACAAGCTCAAAAGAATTAAGCAGTGCTTATAGAGGGCTAGCTCTTGAGTTCTTGTTTGTTTTTATCTCTCTAGACTCCAACCTGTTAGAAGGAGAGTTTTGTTCTTGCCTGATGCAGATGAAACCGGGGATTTCCAAGCCAAAGCTATAACACCTAGCTCCAAAACCAGCCTTTCTAATATGAAAGCTAGTATATTAAGAACTTATGGACTGAGGGAAACTTCGATCGTTCATGCTGCTGCTGCTGAGCCCGAGATTGTTTCTTTCTTGATTCCCTTTGAAGATGAAGAAAGTGGAACCTTCTGTTTATCTTAAGCAAACGAAGTGTTTTGGCAAACACACAGAAAATTATTCCTTATTTGTAGTATTAATATTATTACATATTTTAAACAACTAGAAGCATAAGATTAACATTCTTCCTTCGGAGGCTTAAATAATCCATACACTCAAGGTAGAAGAATATATTGATAAGATGTCTTTTAGAGTAAACAGCAATACCCCTCGTCATTGTCAACTCTTTTGTTTTGCTTTTGCTTAGTGCGTGACAACAATTCATTTCTTAAGATTTGGACCTCAACAACCATGGAACTGTCCGAGAGGGTCAGCTTAGCACCTGTGAATCCCTGGCTGATGCATTGATCCCAAAGATCTTGGAGGCCTTCTGCAAAATCAGCAACTGTAAGCTGATGCACCCGGTTGAAGTGAGCAAAAACTCCAATAGAGTTCTCTATGGCAAAATAGAGCCCTGGAGTAAAATTCCTTAAGATAAAATTTCTCCATGCACCTGCAGCACTTTCGCAATAGTCTTCTTGTTGGGTTCTCTGACTTCTACGCCCCACACATTCATGATATGCCACAACTGAGTAATTCAAGGATCTAATGACAGAATTTAATAGTAGAATCCACATTAGCAAATATCTCATTGTCGCTTATGATATATATGAACAAAATGTTTTTTTATAAGATACAATTCAAATAGAATTATCTTCACTATAATCTTGACTAGTTTTAAATTATTTTGTTACAATTGTTTTATTCGTTATCCTAAAATATCTATTAATTATTAATATATAAGTTTTAATCTAGAAATAATTTTAAATATTCTTTTAGATAAATTTCTATAACTTAAACTAAAGTAGCTGTTCTTTTTTAACAGAAAAATCCTGTTTAAGAAATTATAGAAATTATAAACATATTGATTTTTATAAAAAATATTCTCATTAGATCAGAGATTATACTAAAATATCCAAGTATATACTAGGTGCCTATAGGTTTAACCAAAAATAGAGTTGGAAATAGTTTGCACTGCCAAACATTCTTTTAATTGATTCTAGTATAATATTAATCATTATTCTGAAAATGTTATAAATATAAACATGCTGTATAAAGACGTTTAAAAAAAAAATAGAAATAGGATGAATAAATAAAGTTTTATAAATAATTAAGTCAAACTTAGTCAATCATGATTGTAGGAATAATTGGATATCCTATTTAGCTGTATATAAATACTCACTTTTCTTTGTTCATGTATTTCCAACAGACAATGAGATATTTGCTAATGTCGATTCTGCTATTAAATTATGTCATAAGATCCTTAAATTACTCAGTTTTGGCATATCAAGAATGTCTGGGGCATAGGCGCCAGAGAACCCACCAGGAAGACTATTGCGAAAGCGCTGCAAATGCATGGAGAAATTTTGTCCAGATGAGATTTACACCGGGGCTCTATATTGGCATAAATCGCGGTATTGGAATCTTCGCTCACATCAACCGGGTGCACGAGCTCACAGTTGAAGATTTTGCGGAAGGCCTCGAAGATCTTTGGGATCACTGCATCCAACAGGGATTCACAGGCGCAAAGTTGACCCTCTCAGACGGCTCCATGGTTGTCGAGGTGCAAATCGCAACAGAGGACCTTCTTTCACACACTGAGCACGACAAAGGAGTTGACAATGACGAGGGGTATTGCTGCTTACTCTAAGCCACACCCATTATCCGCATATTCTCCTACCTTGAGTAGAGTACACATGTATCTTTTAGAGCCTTGGGAAGGAAGAATGTTACTAAGAATAAGAGAAATTGTTATCATATGGTTTGGAAATTGGAGCCCACCCAATGTTGTTGGAGTGACTTGCAAACATCAGTCAAATGAATCCATTGGCGCCACCTTTCCAAGTCATGAAAGAAAATTTGGGCCCTTTTTAAAAAACAAAAATCGTCCCAATCCTGACCGTACACCACTGGCCCAACGGCAACCACTTGGGAGGAGAGTTTCTCTTTCATTTAAAAACAAACGCCAAAGCTCTTTCTTTTACCCATCGCCCCCCCCATTTCTTTCCACTGTCTTTCCCCTCTCTTTCCACGCTTCCAAGACGAGGTATAGTAGAAGAACAACGCACACACTCACATAAAGAGTTAAGTTTTTGTCCTCCATTTCGTCCGCTTTGCCCTTCTTCCTCTCTAGGCGCCGGCCGAGGCGCAGATCCACGCGCTTGGTTTGGAAGATTGGAAGATTTCTCTCCTTGCTCTCCGGCG